GATACTTGAAAAAACAGATAATCTTTTAATTCTATATATAACCCCTTTGTAAACGCTGTTCACCGAAGTCTATTTACCAACATACATAAAGATATTACACATAAAAAATACACGGAAACATTGGAAATCACTTTTTGGCACAACACCGGAAAGTAAATAAATGACAGACAGAAATAAGGCAGGTCGAATCGTCTTGCATTTCACGCATGCGCAGTACTGGGACGTAAGCGTTTTCGGCCGTTTCGATGTGGCTGAACAACTCTGTGAAAACGATAGTGTGGACGCGGAGCGTTTTCAGACGGATACGCCGTTCTCAAATTTATCCGAGCTAGTGTAGACGCAGCCTGAGGGTGACAGTTTGGGTTTTGGCAAAGTAGTGGCAGTTGTTTAGTAATGACTCCAAGAAATCTTCCCAACTTGTGTAACTCTATAATTCTGCTTCTTATATCTTCTCTGAGTTCCTTGGACTTTCCCATTGTTCTGAGTATCCGTCAGTCGAATGAGTGTTGTCAAACCTTTTTATGTTGGCAAAGAGAAACTACCAGTTATAGTAGAAACTATCATGAGAGGTTAATAGGCCTCAGTCTTGTCGAGTTAAAAGCTATTGTAGAACCTTATTTGAGTCTGTGCATATATTTTTGACATTATGTGGATTATAGAAGCTCCAAAATCAAGTCAAGCATTTGGAATCAGTTCTTGTTTTTTAAAGTTATTAAACATGTATGTTGTATAACTATTCCACTGTGGAATTAATTATTAAAAGCCCCAAATTACCATGACATTCATGCTCGTGATGCGTGTATGTAAACTCCTGACCACAACTGTACATCCAACTTTTGCCAAGATTGAACCTCAAAGACTTGAACTACCAGCTGAGTCTTCCACTGCTCTGTCACTCAAGCATTAGCTACTTTATCCCATTACACCTATGCAATCACTAGGAGTGAGCACTCCACCATGAAAGGTGCTTTATTTTTCTTTACCTCAGTGTTCTTGGTAGCAGTGTTGTTAGTGTTGGCATCGCTTATGTTCATGTACTGCGACTACAATGTGCCTCACTCTGTGCATTAAATGTAAATTAGACGTCATAGAAGTGATAATAAAGGGAGATTTTAACATGTTTTTGAACGCTCGCTGTATTTTCTCACACACCACATCAGTGATTGAGAGGAAAGTGTTTGTGCTTGTGTTTGCCATGCACATGCCGGTGCATGTCCGTGCATGCATGTCTGCACGTGTGTTTGCATGCGCATGGATGTGCTCCTGTAGGGTGTGCTGACCTGATGACGCTCGACACAATGACCCCTCAGGAGAGAAAAAGGCAGGGTTACATTCACGAGCTCATCCAGACCGAGGAGACCTATGTCGAGGATCTTGAGCTAGTGCTAGAGGTACCGACGGAAACACAGGCATATTTGAACATTATTAACACTTTTCTGTCATTTTTCTTTCCATCCTCACCTGTTTGCATTTGTTTCTGCCTCTTAGGTCTTCTACAAGCCCATGTCCGAGTCAGGCCGTTTAACTGAAGCTGAGATGGCAGTTATCTTTGTTAACTGGAGGGAACTGATTATGTGCAACTCCAAATTGCTCAAGTAGGTCCCACGTGTGACATTGTTATGAACCATCCTGACATCTAAACTATTAAACCCCCACTGCTCTGCTAGAATAAACATTTATGAAGTCTTTCTGTGAAAATGATCAAAAGTAAATGCACAGAAAAACTGACACTTATTTCATTTCTGCAAGTCCATAGACTCTGAAGGCTTGCAGAACTCATCAGATATTCCATCTATTTATGTTTTGTGAGGTTATGAAATAGTGTTTCACATCCTGATAATCTGTGACCCCCCCTCCAGAGCCCTGCGTGTCCGTAAAAAGACAGGAGGAGAGAACATGCCCGTTCAGCTAATAGGAGACCTGCTGGCGTCGGAGCTCGCACACATGCAGCCGTACATTCGCTTCTGCTCCTGCCAGCTCAACGCCGCAGCCCTGCTGCAGAGCAAGACCCACAACCAGCCTGACTTTAAAGACTTCCTCAAAGTACGAGCCTTGGATAATGGATATTGTGAAAGGAAAAATAAATAAAACATTTGCTTTTGTCAGATGCAATAAAAATATCTCTGCCTCTGTCTGCCTCCTCTTGAGCAGAAGATTGCAACTAACTACCGCTGTAAAGGAATGCCGCTGTCCAGCTTCCTCCTCAAGCCCATGCAGAGGATTACACGTTACCCTCTACTCATCAAAAATGTATGCAGAGAAATGCTGTTTATATGTAACTCCATGAATCCCGCCTACCACTCGTTTAATATTCATCTCCATATCTCTTAATTTGTCGCCTGTGCTGTGCTTCTTGGTAAGATCTTGGAGCACACCCCAGATGGCCACGCAGACCGAGGCCCTCTCCGAGAAGCTCTGGAGCAAGCCGAGGAGCTGTGCTCTCAGGTCAATGAGGGGGTTCGGGAGAAGGAGAACTCAGACAGGCTCGAATGGATACAGAGCCACATGCAGTGTGAGGGGCCCATAGAGGTAAAGACACTCAGACACGAGTATCTCGACTCGAGTCCCTGCTGCTATATTAAATATGGCCTCTGCAAAGCATTTCATGTCTGACAAGTCTTGAGCTGTTACGCAGGGACAGCAAAAATTCCGTTCTTAACTACAACGCTTGACAGTTTGCTTATTTTCGAACAACTTTCCTCAGCCATGCCTTGCTTTCTCTGCACTTTTTTCCCCCCCAGCACTTGGTCTTCAACTCGCTGACTAATTGCCTCGGGCCTCGTAAGTTGCTCCACAGCGGTCGGCTGTACAAGACCAAAAGCAGCAGAGAGCTTTGGGCTTTCCTCTTCAGTGATTTCCTCCTCCTCACACACAGTGCCAAACCCTTCTCCTCCTCAGGATCTGACAAGTTATTCAGCCCCAAAACAAGCATACAGCTCAAGATGTACAAAACGGTAAGCTAATCTCAGATATAATATAAATGCACAGATGAACTATTCTTTCTCATCGTTTACGTTCTCTTGGCATTTGCCGATATGCATTTCATCTCCGCCAGCCTCTCTTCCTGAACGAGGTATTGGTGAAAATGCCACCCGACCCGTCCAGCGACGAGCCGCTGTTCCACGTCTCGCACATCGATCGCGTCTACACTCTCAAAACCGAGACCCTGAACGAGAGGCACGTGTGCAAAAAATCTCGCGTTCTGTGTAACCACACGTCTGTGTTTCTGCGTGAAGCACTCACATTTTTACTGCTTCCATTAGGGCAGCGTGGGTCCAGAAAATCAAAGCAGCATCTGAACATTTCATAGAGACGGAGAAGAAAAAGAGAGAGAAGGCTTACCAAGGTAAACACAGCTACACGCTCATAAATATATCAGCTAATATTGAGTGTATTGACTTTATCCCTTTGCAGAGCAAGCTGGCATTCCTATCATCTCCTCCGCTGCTCCCTTGTTAACTTTCCTTGTAGTGCTGGCTTGAGCTGAATGTTATAATGACAAGCAGTTTCTTAGTGTCATCTGACCTGGAATCTGCTTGATCTGAAAATGATTGTTTGGTGGTTCAGCTACTGCACAGAGACCTGGCACCTTCACAAGTTTTCAGGAAATCAGACTCTACGACTCGTTCCTATGACCACTGGATTGTTTTCACCTATAGTGTCATATTTATACCGTGCATCGTATCGTTTAATAATTAAGGAGTATTCATTTGCACGCACTGGAGCTTGAATGGAGTGCTTTATTTTTTACTTCCTTTTATTCCAAGTTGATCCAGAGTTGACATTTTTCAGTCTGCATATTAAAAATCTACAACAAAGCAAGCCCCCTGAAGTATGCATGTGTGTGTTGTTCAAACATTATCCTAATTATGAATGGATGCTGCATTTTTGTCATATATCTTACTGTCTTCTGCTTATTTTAGCACGCTCTCTAAAGTCCAGCGGAATCGGCCGGCTGCTGGTAACAGTCATTGAAGCCCAGGAGCTCAAGGCCTGTAAGCCCAACGGTGAGGCCCCGTGGCAACATGACAGTGCTAATGCATGCTTTGTAATTAAGTCCCGTTAACTCCTTTTCTCTTCAGGTAAGAGTAATCCTTACTGTGAGCTGACAATGGGAGCTCAGTGCTACACATCTCGACCAATCAGCGACACTCTGAGCCCAAAGTGGAATTTTAACTGCCAGTTTTTCATCAAAGACCTCTACCAGGATGTCCTCTGCGTCACCGTGTCCGAGAAAGATCAGTTCTCACCAGATGGTCAGTGGATAAAGGACACGCACATGCACTCATGCATAAAACAGTTGATTATTCGGCTTTTTGTCTAATTTTTCCTGCCTATACAGAATTAAAGGAACACTTAAAGTCTTGGTTTTCCTCTATTAAAGTAAATCAGCGGTCTTAACTTTTTTTCTTTTTTTTTTGTCCGATGAGATGCGTTTCTTTTTCTCATTTTAATCATCTTACTAAATAAAAGTGTCCTCCCTCCTCTTTAGATTTTCTCGGCCGCGTTGAAGTTCCCGTGGCAACGATAAAGAAAGAGATGGAGAGCAAAGGAGCAGCAACCCGTCGCCTTCTGCTGCACGAAGTCCCTACTGGAGAAGTTCACGTCAAACTAGACCTACAGCTTTACGAGCCAACCAAATGAGGAAAATACATCTGAATACTCCATTAGGCACACACACCACTTAATTTCCTAGTAATGAAGGACCATTAAAGTGCCTTTTTTATGCTCTTGCACATTACGCAATAATGGGGATTTTACTGTCCCTGCTTGTTCCACTGACCCTGAGCTTTTCAGCGACCTCAAACGATCCAAAACACGGAGATGATTGCCAATATTTTCTTAATCGCCAGTCAGAAATGGAAAGTAACAAACGGGACTCAACGTTTCACCGGATTTTTACATTTCAGTTTCGATTTGTAAATTCTTTTTTTTTTCCGGCGCACTGCTAATTAAAGAATATAACAACATATCAGCCAGTTACACACACGTGTGGACAGTCGCACACTGTCTCACGTATCTTTATATTACAACTGCTGCACACTGCTGTATAATGTAATGTCAATGGTTAGCCTTATGGTGTAAGCTTGAGGTTTCATGGCAAGTACGCCATTAAATCCCGAAAACGGCACCGGCATGAATAAAATGTATGTACAGTAAAACGTTTTTCTGCGTTTGTCTTTCGAGTACGATGTCCAGGAAAATTGTGAAGTATGTTTTTTTATGTTTGTTTGTTTTTATTTGGATGCACACAGTGGCCAAAGTCACTGTTAACTTGATGGTTCCTGCAGACATCCATATCTGGAGAACCAGCAGCTGGTCTGGTGGCACCTTCCATCTGATGTGGCTGTTGCACTGATGTGCAGTGGTATAGTGTTAGGCCTGGATGAAAAACATTTCAAACTGTTAGTGGGATTTGTCAGTGAGCAGTATGGTGCTATAGTGTACAAATACAGTATATAAGTACCTGCTCCACTTGCTTCTCTCAGCCTCGACGACCACTGGCCTTTTAATGGACCCACAGGCTGGATATTTAGATGAGGCATGTAGACGTTTGTTGGCCTGAGATTTCACAGACTCACACAGAGGTCGATGACTTTTAGTTCGCCGTTCAGCTTTTGTCCAGTGGAGTTTTTGCCCTAAGATAGAAAAAAAAAAATCTCTCATTTGAAGAAGTTTTGACCTGAAGGTATTTTACACTGAAAAAGCAAAAGATTGAGATAAACTCCTAGACCACTGAGCAGTTAATGAAAATGCTCAATGCTAATAAGTACTTTTCAGAAGTACTTATTATAAATTAATCCAGCAAAAAATTAAAGGTACCTGTTGTGCTCATTTTCAGTTCCATATTTCCATTTTATACTCTTGGATTCTAGAGTTGCTTTACACAATTCACAGTTCAGAAAATATATATTTACTAAGTAAAACAACTGTAACTGTCATTATTGTGCTGATTTATAAACTCACCCTAGGCTTCATTAGGTACACCTCTTCAGCTGCTTACTAAAGCTAATATCTAGCCAATCACATGCTAACAAGCCAATGCATTTAGATATGTAGACACGGTGAAGATGGTGCTGAAGTTTAAACTGAACGTCAGAATGGAAAAGTGAGGTGATTTAAGTGACTGTGATGTAAAGGACCCACAGCGCGTAGCTTTGCAAGCAGTTGAATGTTTATTTGCAAAGTTTCCAGTGACTCCGTTTTTGGAGCTTTACAGCTGCCTGTCTCCAGTGCAAGTACACCCAGCTCCCTGGTCAGGTCCCGGCATCCTACTCAAATAGGGAAGGCATGATTATACAATGGAAATCAGCTGTGCTGGTCAGCCTTCCCCTGACACCTGACCCCTGTAGCTGAGCCACAAACCACACCACGCCACAGTGACTTTGCACGGTTGTTTGCTGCCAGATGGGCATTGTGAATATTTCAGAAACTGCTGATCTACTGGGAATTCTGCACAAATCCATCTCTAGTTTACAGAGAATGGTCCGAAAAAAAGAAAATATCCAGTGAGCAGCTGATAGGAAGGCAACTGTAACTCAAACACTTGAGAGCATCTCTGAACAGATATCACCTTAAACCTTGGAGCAGATTGGTCTACAGCAGCAAACCACACTGGGTGCCATGTCAGCAAAGAACAGGAAACGGAGACTACAATTCACACCAGCTGATCAGAATTAGACAACAGACGATTGAAGAAACGCTGCCTGATCTGATTAGTCTCGATTTCTGCTGTGACATTTGGATAGGATCAGACTTTTGCGCTGATTCCTCTATCCTTATATGAGCCGTGCTTATAGTGTAATGCAGAGGTTTCCAAAGTGGGGGGCCAGAGCCATTGCAGAGGGGACCCTACACGAATGCAAAGCAGAAGATGAAGCATAGCCAAATATGTTTCCAAACCAACTTCCTTCCAAGCCAAATACTAGATATATGATGAAGCATATCTTGCCCTTGACTTCACCTGCACAAGTGCCAAGGTAGGTCGCCACGACAGAATTTGTTTAACCTGCGTCGGGAGCACACGCTGGGCTGTCCAAATCACAGACAAACAGTATCCCATATTCTTGATTTTTTTTTAGTCCACAAACACTTCTTATAATGACTAACTACTCCTGACATTTTGGAGATGTTAGCTCTTTATACGCGAAGATTTTCTTGTAAAACAAAGGGGGGCTTAGCAAAAAAACTTTGGGAACCACTGGTGTAACGCTATGGTGTAATGTCATACTTCGGCCTCTAAAACTGAAAACTTTATGACCACAGTGCACCTTCTGCATCCTCTGATGGCAGCCTCCAGCAGGATAACGTTCCATATCACAAACTTCAAATAATCTCAAACAGGTTTCCTGAACACGACAATGAGTTCACTGTACTCAAACGGCCTCCACAGTCACCAAATCTCAGTCCAATACAGAACCATTGAGATCTGGTGGATGCGCAGCTGAGAAATCTGCACCAACTGTGTCATGCCATCATGTCAGTGTGAAACAAAATCTCAGAGAAATGTTGAATCTGTGCCACGAAGAATTAAGGCAGCTCTGAAGGAAAAAGCAGGTCCAACCTAGAATTAGCACGGTGTACCTAATAAAGTGTCAGGTAAAAACTTTGGCCATGTTTATTGGGAGCATCCATCATGGTAACAGTATATGACAGACAACAAAAGCATAATAATTACTATATATATATATATATATATATAACTAAGCCAATACTGAAGACTAAGCATTTGTATAATAGTTTGTCTTAAATTTCCGATTGGCTACAAAAAAAACACAAAAAAGGGAAAATATATAGATACCTGATCCCAAAGACGAGTGGAATCTCTTTCCTGTTGGTCTTTCATTTAAACGAAGGCCCAATGACCCCTTTAAGGAATCAATGCATTAGCAGTAACACACACGTGAGACACTCTAATGTTGTTATGAAACATACTGAAGGGAAATATTCAAGTCACAGAAGTCACCTGGTTGTTCACCTGTTGCATTTTGATGTTGAGAAGTAGAGGATCGTACTCCTGTGGATTGTAGGTCTCTAGAAAGACATTCCCCTGTGGATCAGAGATAACGTGGCAGTGAGATAAGTTAAACATTCATCTCATCTGTTTTTGCAGTAATAGGCACAAAATCTAAACATCGCCGTTCACAACAACACAAAACCTCTAGCACCAACATGAGGAGTCATTGACCTAACTTCAAAACTAATTTAAGCTTCAGCACCACCTTGGAGTTACAGACATTGAGGTAGTGATTGTAGAGGTTGTGGCGCCTCTTGGCCTCTGGGCAGCTGGACATATGCGCCTTCACTCTCTGCTGGATGGGAAACCAGACATGTTCAGTCCAGTGTTTGTGGAGCAGCTCTCTCCTCCTGAGCTCTGTAACATCACGCTGACTGAGGAAAAACTCCAACTCCTGAATGAAAACGCATTTCAATCAATATTGGAGGTATTTTTAATAATGAAGAATAAAATGTGAGGGGGAAAAAAGCTGTGTCATTGTATTAGATGGACTACAGTACAATAAAAACTAGTACCCTACCTTGATAAAGCCATTTTCTGTCTCCTGTAATGGCTGGAGTATTTCCTTCACTTGCTGCTTCTCAGCCTTCATCTTTGCCTAAATGACAAGAAAGAGATTCAGGAATTCATCCTTTCCATCTTTTCTGTGAAGATGTGAGTCGACTGAGTGCAGTACCTGCAGCTGTCTGAGGGAGGTGTAAGAGAGCCAGTCCCGTTTGGCGGCCCACTCTGGCACATAAGACACCTCATTCCTTTTCTCTGGCGTTACAGACCTGCAGGTGCTCCTCGTCCTTTCACGCTGCTGTGAGCTGCTCCTTCTGCTCTTCTTGCTCTCCGTGGTGTGCTTCACATCTGTAACGCACTCCTGAAACACCAGATGTATACTGTACGCTGTAGTTACTGTGTGCAGTGCATAAAGTTTGCTTGAAATTACAGTATGAATAATAAACGAATGGTTCCAACTACAGTGATGTGCAAAGCTCTTGAGCCACAACTCATTTTTTTATCCTTGTATCTTACCATTTTCAGAGTGATGGGTTGTTGCTGGTTTTTTTAAGGTACTTACACTGACCTATTACATTTTGGCATAAAAAAGCCACCTAATGCAAGGGCTGAAACTATGTTGTATATACACATACTGGACATCATGGCTAAAAACAAATTTTAAACTGTATCTTTAGGCACTTTGTTACTAGCAGCGTGTTACAAAAACACATCATTTCTTTCACATTTCTTTAGTTGAATCTATGGAAAATTCAAAAGACAACACAGTTCGACAGACATAAAACAGATCGAATAGTATAATTGCACCAGGTAATTGATTCTCAAAGAGCTATTATGTGAAGACATCTTGGCATAGTGCGCCATGTGTCCTTAAAATGTTTGAGGATAGTGGACAAGGGGAAGACAAAAGAAAAAGTGGGAGGCCTAGAAAAACATGAAAGGCAAAGACCTGACGAGACCTGAGAGATGCATCTGGCCTTTCAGTCGACCAGTCTACTGTTAACTGAAGCCTCATCAGAAATGGTCTCACTGGAAGGTCGGCTGAGGTATGCTAAATTACACAAGAACTGGTCTGAAAATCAGTCGCAACAAGTCAGATGGAGCTTGGAGCTTTGCTTAAAATTGTCATCAATATTTACAGAAGCGGTCAGGAAGCTACAACAGTGAGTCTCTACAGTTGGAGATCTTGTGAAATTTGATGAATTTATAAAAAACAGCACCATCAGATATTGATCCACCATTTGATATCATCCAGAATGTGTCTGAATGGTGTCAGCTTCATTTTTTCAGTATGACAATGATCCCAAACACACTGCCATTGCAGTAAAAGCCCAGAGTTCAGACTGCAACATTACTGAAGCATTGTGGGATCATCTTGGCAAAGAACAGAATATAAAGCATAAACATCCAAAGATTTCCATTTCCTAAGCAAAAAATTTAAAAAAGAGGGGTATCTCAAGACTTTTACACAGTAATATACATCTCTTGTTTTCACAGCATACAGTACTTTGAATATGTTTACATAAAGTCCACCACACCCTGCTGCGACAGATTGCGTCACTACACAGAAACACTAGCAGCTTCTCACAGATACATTAACACGTAACATATACATTTTTACACTCTGGTGTAAAAAATCATGACACTGGTCATTTTATGACAGCGGTTTTGGCATCAGTGTACAGGTATGTGTGCTTATTGTTAGGTCTTATTGTTGCAGTAGATGGGGTAGACTCTTTGTTTTGCATTTAACCTGATCCGGCACTGCGCCTCCTTTAGTCCTTATGTGCGGGTAACAGTGGCTGCCGTATCTGTCAGTAAACGGAAACCTTTTCATTCATTTTAAAAATAGACTCTGAGATTGTATGTTCAGATATGATACGCAAAAGGAAAAAGAAGAGGCGCAGTTAGGAAAGCCAGGCATGTCAAACTCATTTTACATTGTGAGCCACATACAGGGCACTTTAATCTTAAGTGGGCCAAACCAGTGAAACGTCAACCACACATTTAACCCCCGAGATATTTTAATATAATAAAAAGAAGAAAAGAAAAAAAAACCTATCAACTTTGAATTTACTGATTTGGTTAATTACACATTCATTAAATTTGTCATTAATTAAAACAGGAAATAACTCATTTATTAAATGTTTTAAACAAAATGAATTGACATTTAAGTCATGCATATATTTAACTAATTATTTCCTATTTTAATTAATTAATTACGTGTAATTAAAAATTCAATATTTATATATATTTATTTAATTATTTATTTGATTCACTTTGGCACTTGAGGCCCTCCGTAGCACTGCGTGCACATACCGTATACTGAGGGCAGGAGAACAAATACAGAAGAAGAAGAAAGACTGGAGATAAATTATTAGTTGGTGAAAGGTCACAGTCTCACTCTGCTGTGAAGTGCAAACCGCACAGAATGTACATGTTCACAAGAAAAAAGTGTGCTCATCAAAAGCCAAATTTTAAACAGAACATAACACCACTGCAGTGCTGCCGAGCAAAACCACTTACACTGCTGATGCTCTTTAATTAAAAGTTTAATTAACAGCAGTATATTTAACATAATGGGAAGCGGGGTGGTATTGAGCCACCCAGTGTAGCTCCTTTTGTGAAATATACAATCCACTTCCGAGCTTTCTTTTTACTACACTCCCACTTTTATGAGGATGCTCTCTTATTTATTATTACCTCTGAATTTAACAGGCTGACAGGAAAAGGTGAGTGCACGGTGATCAGACCGCTGGGACCCTTCTTCTTCATGTGGCTCATCTCTACATCACGACAAAACAAGCAGCCTGGAGTCAGCGACATGCTGGTAGCGATAAACGATAGACAGTGTCAAAGAACAACACTGACTGAATTTACTCATCACTTACTCCATACCTGCTAATTAAGTTGCTTTAATTTCATTAAAAGCCCACGTCTCCATTACAATGTGGTTGCTTCTTACCTGTGCTGATTTAAGGACTGAAGTTCGTGTGGCCAATTTACCAAAACGCTCCGTGCTTTTAGGTCACGTGCAACACACATCATTTTGGAAAAGTGTGCAGACTGCTAACTCTTACCCTGGGCTCAGACTTACTTTTCTAACGGAGCCAGTAAGGAGATACCTCCTCCAGGTGAACCACCGTCTGAAGAGGGTTTCCGTTGCCATGACGCCGACACGCAAGCGAGCCTGGGGCGAGCACGCGCAGAGACGTCGTAAGTAAATGGCGAAGGTTCTGCGTTCTGTTGCATTAGTAATATACAAACACGGTCCAGAAATTTAGCATGCAGAAAATGTTACACACACAATTAGCTGCTCGTGTTTTAAGTTACCCAGGCTGCAGACTCACTGGACTACATATAGGCTGTTTACATCATTACTCCACGCTGCATTAACTGTATTTGTGGAAAGTGATTTCCCCACATCTGTGCTCAGATTATGCAAGTCTAGACGAGTCATGCCCCAAGAGTAGTAGGCTTTGAACCCCCTGAGAGGCTGTTGGATCCTCTTTAATGTGCGCAGAGATCAGCTGAATAACTAATGTTAGGTCATCATATTTAGCAGATGTTTGGGCAAAGGTGGGGAAAACTACAAAAAAATCAGCATAGATGCACTTCAAGAAGAAAAGTATTCTTATAAAATTTTTACTTATAACATTTTATATTAAAAAAAAATAAGAGGGTAAACTCGTTTAAAGTCCCAAAAGTTGAAAAGTCTCTTTAGGCGACACCTTTCACCTTTCAGGAGGGTCTTCCAGCCAATAAAAACTTGCGCTACACGGTGCAGTAGGTTCAAGAGTTGTAGCCTTGCTTCTAGGACTTAATGCGCCGGTTGACACCTGAGGTGCGCTTTGACAGTTCTCCTGCGGAGAAAGCGACGACTTAATGTTTGGGTATTAGCTGCGTAAAAGAGGCAGGGCAGGGCTTGGCCAGATCATAACTTCGTCTTTTTCATTTCTTTCTCGCTTTTCGTTGCTGGGGTCAGCACAGGGGGGAGGCTACATGGATTGGTGGACTTTGTTGGCAGCGAGTATTGCCCTACTCTGGATTTTCTGCTTTATAGACGGTAAGGGAAAAACGGCTTTTTAAGGGTTTTATGGCACCTGTCCACTAACCTATAAACGCACGGCACAAGAGACCATGAATCACTCTACATAACATGTTAAAGTGGTTGTAGATTCTATTGTAGCTCATATTTCGAGTGTATTCCCTCGAAAGGTGGACGCACTGAGCAGATGAGACTCTACAGATTAGGGAATAGTTTGTGTCCCAAGATGACACAGATAGCTAAAATGGGCGCAGGTGGTGCAGATTGCATCACTAACCAAAACCTTCAGTTTCTGTACGTTTTAAATGAAAAAAAAAAAAAAAAGCTATATTACATAATTAATATTGTTTTATTAAACTCTTTTGATGAGGCAACCACACTTGATTGCTTCGAGATGACGGGGCGGGGAGAGGGGGAAATACAAACAATTTTGAGTCTTTATTTAGAGAGTGAATGGTTTGTGCTTTAGGTCAGGTGGTTGTCAGGGTACTTTTACTTGCCGAAAGCTCGCTTTGCGTGCTCAGTATACCCGCCGCCCAGCCGGCTGGTGAGCAGACTTTAATCCAGTGGCAGACGCTGTTTGTGGTTCTCGACATTAGCCACGGTGTTAATTTAGACTCCAGCTTGACCCTGTTACCTTCTTATCTCCAGGCAACGCCGTGCTTGAGCTGCGGCTGCTCTTTCACGCTCTGACCAAAGCCGCTTGTCACCTGTACCTGGCCCTGCTCCCGCTGCGCCGAGCCGCCACGCACTTCTACGACAGCGCGCGGTACTGGGTCAACCATGCCCAGCAGGGCCCCTCTCCTCCAGGCTACTTCCATCAGAGCGAACCCCTGGCCAGGAAAGGCACGCTACACTTTCTGGAGGGCATGTGCGTGGTGTGCGAGACGGTGCCCAACATGATGGGCGCAGCGCTGAGCGTCGGGGCCGCTTTCTGTCATATGCTGCAGGGAGGTTTCTACATCCTGGCGGCCACGCTGCGCACCATCCAGATCAACCTGTTCTCACAGATGAACGGCGAGAAGGAGAGGTGGGACAAAGAGCGGCTAAGGGCGAAAGAGGGCGAGAAGAAGCTCAATTCCAAAGTGCTGGAATACATCTCGGTGTTTTGTCAAGACCCCGTGAGCGCTTTACGCATCAAGGTCGACGTGCCACCCGTGTACAGATAATCTTTTTCCCGTGGCTAATTGGCACATAAGGGGCCTTCTTCTAACTGCTGAGGGGTTAGAAGTACAGCAGAGTGTTGATTGGTTTGCAGGGAGGGCAGGAGGTTGAACTCTGACTTCTGGTTTTCACTCACTGTTGAGGGGAATTAGTTACCAACGGAATCAAATAAATTATATTTAAGCACGTGTGGGAAAAGACGAATAAAACTATGGTGCATTTTGTTACAACTGTTTCACATTTATGGAAATGTAAAGAAAATAAATGTCTCAATCAAACAAAACCTGACATCTTTGCTTGTTTTGGCCTTTAGAGCTTTATTGCTACATTCTTTTATACCAAATCTTACTGGCAACCAAGTTTATTTTAAAGTGCTCTCTTATTCATTATCTCAGTCATTAATAATACATCTATGGCAACATATTTACCAAAAAAAAAAAAAAAAATAGGATCAGCAATAGAAAGTATGTTATTATTCACCTACTGATTCTGGTTAAAGTCAAACTAAATCAGCAATAGGCCACCAACATTTATCCTGCAGAGCTTTTTAGCTTCATCTCAGCCCTCTCAGGTCTCAAACGCATGACAGCAAGGACACAGAGTTAGCCAACATTCAGTAGATTAAGTCTGGCTGGCATCCGGGATCAAGTATTTTACCTGTGAGCTCAGACTGCATTTGCATCTTTGTGGTTCTCGACATTAGTCAAACTGCTAAAGAGACCACAGGGATGACAATGAGGAAGAAGAAGTAATGAAGAGACAGGCAAGTTTGGGGATGGGGGGGAGCAGGACTGTGAGCTGATACTGAAGATGGATTTATTCTACTTGACACTAAAGTCTTGCATCAGGTATAGCGTGGAGGCTCTCAGGGGGGATTTTCCCAGCTACAGTGAGAGAAGAGGAACAAAAACAAAAATAAGAAAGATCCCTCAGGCGGGTGTAGTAAACAACTGTAATCTGATCATTTTTAAATACAGCAAGGTAAAAAATAGGACAAAATTCTCAAGACGGACACAAAACAGCAGCTTTATCTTTACTGGAATATCACAAATAATCTTACAGAGTATGTCACCAGTTCTTCTGACAGCTGCTTTGTTCACTTTGTATTCGTTCTGCTGGGACCTGAGATGAGAAGAGTGCATGTGTAACTTTGGCATCAGCATTATGGACAGCTTCTCAAACCACCAAAGAAAATGAGCTTAAAACCAAACAGGGCTGTAGGTTTAATCTCATTACTCACGCCCTCAACTTTGTCACTGCCTCCAGTCTCCGCAGTGCAGCAAGAACATTTTTCTGTGTATCAGAAGAGAGGACTTCAAAGGTGTGAAGATCACCTGCAAAACAAAAAACAAAAAACCCAAAAAACTGTAAGTTAGCTGCAAGTTACCAGGTGGCAGACAACTCTAGAGGTCAGAGGTCATTCCACACACTCAGTTTTACCTGAGAGGATGAGTTTTGTAGCCAGGTTTTGCACAGCAGGTAGGAACTGCTTCTCCGTAAAGACGTGAGCTCCGTTTTCACACAAGTACCTGAATATCAGCTGGACATGAGGGGAAAAAAAAACAAAAACATCATTAAAACGTTGGTATATTAATGTGGAAATAAAGTCAAATTATGGTCAAAAAGTAATAAATGCTTTGCCTAAAATTTAGTCAATAGTAAGTTAACAATGTTACAAATAATTTTCATGTTAGCAGATGTTAATGTTTTCTAAATGGTTAATAGTTTAGTTGTAAACCATCTTGACCACCATTGGATGGTTACTGTGAAGTTGCAAGAGATTCTTTGAAGTCATTAAATATTGTACTGTGCATCTATAAATCTATAAGTCTATAAACATTAGACACAAGATGGAAATAAACTAATGTTTGGAATATCCATTTTAAATCACATAAGCAGGACTCGTGTCTTTAGTTTCACACATATGAACTGCATCTCCTCTCTAAAGATAATCTTAATATATGTAAACCAGGAAGTACACAAAACTGTATTTGTCTTACTAAAAGACAAAAAGTTTTCGATATACTTTTGCTAATGCAGATAAGCTCCCACAAAATTGAACTCTTTATGGTCATAAAATGGCTTAATGACAATATTTATAATTTTTCAGGTTTCAAAGATGCAACTACAGCATGTCTCTTTATGTCATTAGAAACTATGCCATGATTGTTAGTCATAATCTGTTATCTGATAACAGTGGTTAATGTTTAATGACATTTCTTAGAATACAATAGAAGGTCCATAATAAGAAAAAAAAAAAACTTTACAACATCTAACCAAGAGTCTTCACAACAGTCACTCTCCACGAAATACACTTAATCACAGAGAGAGATACTCAAGTTAGATGGACCTGATATGAGTCTAAGAATGGTTGCAGCAGCTTCTGCAGAAAGGATAACACTTCCAGCCCCGTTTCCAACACGGTCACTTCCTGTTGACTCATGTGGACTGCTCCACATTTCTGCAGAAGTGAACATGCCTCGTCAAAGTCCTAAATGATGGAGGGGAAGACATATGCAATATGAGTAACAATAATATACTCACGATAATAATCTGTCTCATTGGTAACCATACACAAGTGTGTATGATGATGTATGATAGTAGCAAAAAAACTGAAGCACTATAAGCACAAAATTTCTTTCATTAGCTCTTCCTGAGAATTGGATAAACGAGAGGCTACAGTGACCTTGGCCTTTTACCCAAGGTAAAAGTTCATGCACAGAATAATCGTGATCCCGACAAACATGGCTGTTACCTGCGATGCCCTGCCAGGGATGAAGATGAATTCATTGGAGAAGACGTCCCGCAGGAAGCAGAAGAAGCTGAACAGCTCATCTGTGAACAGAAAAAGGTTAAACAAGACGTGTCCATTCATGAGACTCAGAATCTGCAACTGCACCTAACATTTACCCTTCTGTGTGCTTTTTGTGATGTGGATGGCAGTAGCAAGTATTCCTGGACGCACAAAGACATGCAACGCCTGATTCCTGTAGGAAACCAGCATCAGCACCGCCGCCGCCGTCCTCATCACACCCTCCTCTGGGCTGAGTGGATCTTGGCTCGCAGGGTCTCCATCCTGAACCAGGTAGACACGGCCCGCTTTATGATGGACGATGGAGTGATGAAGAGCCACGGTGGATGACATCACGTCTGAGTCTGGGGTGCGTGCTGCAAAACGGGTTTCAAGTTTGAGGGTCACATGACCTTCAGAAAGTCATGCGTGCGTGTGTGTGTTGAAGTGTGCACACGTGCCTGCATGTGTGAATGTCCACATACAGGACACCTGTGAAGTGAGACAGTTCAGTGGAGTCCTCTTAAGATAAGTTACTTAAAGTGCATTAATCCACTGAACATCTCCTAAGTGATTCTGGACACTTGTGCCAACTTGCATTCACCTAATCTTTGTGATCCACATAGGACCGGGTCAAAAGGAGCCTATGCAACAGCAAGGAAACTACTCAGTTACTCTTCTGCATTAACAGCGTCTGGTTGTCTAGCAATGCAATATGCTAAGGCCACCTGCTGGTCACTGAAGGGAAAGCAAGCTTCATTAAATGCCCACTATAAGCAAAGCCTATATTGATCTTAACCCTAAGCTTGATGCTGCTGCTTTCTACACAGTATAATTAAAATAAATTGATATCTTTGAAATCCATCGGGCCCACTCACCAGGCCAGTTCAGACAGCCCCTGAAGTCCAGCACCAGCTTCCTGAGCCAGAGTGTTTTTTCCGTGAGCCCATGCCACTGCAAACCCTCTTCTGTTAAAGTTGTGATTGGAGCCTGGAGCAACAGGCAAGCCATCAGAGACCAAGGACTGATCAATGAGCCCTCCTCCTGGGTTCGCACAATCAAATGAGCCAGCCAGTTCACACAGTCCTGGATCTCCGTACTTGGTCTCTGTGGAAGATCTCTAAACAGATAATGAGGTAGATTCTAAAGTTACATACAGGCTATTTCTTGACATTTTGAAGGTTTAAAACGACAAAAATATTCATTTTGCTTTAGCATAAGAATAATCATAATTATTCTTATGCTTTTGTTGATTTGGTTCATTTTACACTCACCATGAGTAAGAAAAAATAAATAAAAACAGATTTCAAAAATGTAAAAGGTGTTTTATGCACTTCATTTGAACTGCCTATATATCACTAATGGAGATTACATTAACAGAATATATAAATGGTAAATCATAAAATTATTTAATACTCACTTTGGCTGGTGTATACTCAGAACTCACAATTTTTAGCTACAGCCAATTGTGACTTTGGCACACATGGCTACCATGTCTTGCATAAACAGAAAAAAAAAGCAAATCTGTACCTTGGTATGAGATTGTACTCGCTTCGATTTATCTTTCCCTCACACAGCTGTCGAACAGACAGGGGGCGGCCAAAGTTCACATGCATGCAGCCATAATCTTCCTGCAGAACTCTGCTAGCTTTAAACAGTCCCTGCAGTGAAAGAGCGAGGGCAAGAGGCCTGTAGTTTCATATCTTTCAGGACCAAAGATTGCATGGGAAATTTTATCAAGTCAGCAACGAGACGAAACTTACGGTGGTGCTTTCTTTGGGTTTGGGGACACCCAACAACTCAAGTGCAAGCAATGACTCCTCCACTACTCTGTCATAGCTGATACTAATGGGCACCAGGGTAATGTCAAACACCTCACCTTTAAAGTATGGCTCCAGCACCATGTCCATCATACCTGCAGACAAATGCAGATGTGGCACCAAGATGCTCAAAACATGTATAAGTGAATATGTAAAAAAATATATATATATGGAAATAAAAATAAGTTGAAAAGAATATTCAAATTACACAAAATGATCTAAAAATACTGTAAACTTGTTTGACTTTTCACAATTAAAATATCCTAAACTGTGAGTGTATGATCCCTTGGTGTGCAAAAGTAAAGTACTGTACAATGACAAAGGGTACAATGACCCTTTAAGGTCAAACCTGTAATAAAACACAACAGAAATAGAAAAAACACAGCTAAATCTCACAAAAAAAAACCCCTCTAAACAACAAAAAAGACCTCACATTACACAATGGAAGTGTTTTTGGGGAGACAATAATGTGACGGACCAGCTGCGGAAGTGACAAGCTAACAGTAAACAGCTAATAGCAAACACCTACATTATTAAATGAATCTTTTAAGTGAGTCTAACTGTAATTGTTTGCATGTTTTGGTCCGTCACCTTATTGTCTCTCTCCAGAAACTCTTCTGTTGCACTTAGTGAAATTTTGTTTTTCTTTCCCTACTTCAATTGTTTTATTCAAATTCTGTTGTGGGTTGTTTTTTTTCCTTGGTTGGTTTTTCACCATTTCTGCTTTGTTTTATTCAGTTGTATTTTGTCTGCTTGTGCTGCATTTTTCTTTTTTCTGGTGTTTTCTTAACTTGCAGTGCATTTGACCCCCCCGGGCCACCATAGAAAAAGGTCATCATGCTTAACTGCTATAAAATTAAAGCAACAAAACCTAAAAAAAAAAAAAAAAAAAAAAAAAAAAAAGTCCAAAATAATGAGATGCACACACTTCGATATCCTGGGGAACAGTAACAAAAACAACAAAGGTGTACATTTAGACACTTACCAAGCTTTGGCACCACAGACTTCAGTGTGCGACTCCTGAAACCCTCTACATAAAACTCCAAAGGAGCACATCCTGTCTACGGAAAACACATTAAGCTGTTGGAAGCCTTCTTCTTTTAATTGTTAAATACAGAAGCTGACTGCCAAAGATGCACTTAGGAATACTTTTAAAAAGTCCTCGTCTTACCCTGACAATTGTTCGGACGTATTCTGACAGCACCGCCCAGTACAGCTTGTCAGAGCCGATTGCTCGTCGGATAAAGAAAGCTCCGGAGCGACGCAGAATCTCTCCAACAACCTTCATGCTTGCAAGAGCTTTTAAGAGAAGGAGTGGGAACAAAAAAATAAACAATAATAATAATAATATTTGGATGCTACGATGCAATCAAAATGGATATAATGTCGTGTATAATTAGTATGATTTAAATAACACTTTGTTGTCCTAATTCAAATAGATACTTGCGAATTCCTGCAGCTATGACAGGTATTGGGATGTCGTAGGTGAACAGGATGAAGGAGACAATCAAGAAGTCCACATAACTCCTGTGATTGGGCATCAGGATCACAGGACTCTCCTGGATGGCTTGCTGCAGCTGCAGTGACAGAAAATTTTAACTTCCAAGGTTCTCTGTATAGTAAATAGTAGTAAATACTATAGTAAAGCAAATCTATCAGAATGGTTGTGTGACCTCTAAAGATCTGCTGTTGAAACAAACTGGCCAATAACTGATTAAAGTGTATTGATTTCTGATGAGTCCTGACCATGTTGAGTCCTTCCATGTTGACATAGATGCTTCTGAAGAGTCTCTTGAACACCTTACTGACAGTGTAGCCCATCAGCCTGATAAACCCCAGCTGCAGATTGTGAGACATTTCCTCCAAAATCCCACGAGCCTCTTGTCTCACCTTCTCCACGGATGACCCCGTCTCCAAGGCAATCTGAGAGGGAATATGTAGGGGAGGAAAAACTGACTATTTTGACAACAAAACAGTAAAAACTATATTTTTTTAATAAATAAAATGACTGACCTCTTTGGCAATATAGCGCAGATACTGGGACTCCAGTACAGCTTTCTTGAGGTCAGAAGTGGAGCCGGATGGGGCTCCTTTGTACGGTTGAGGGTTAAAGGTTCTCAGGGCATAGCCAAGATCAGTTGTGCGTCTCCTCTCCTCCAAGATATCCGTAAACTCCTCCTCATCCTTCAGGCTTGCAGTGCCTGAATCTTTATACTGAAGGAAGGAGTAAGGTTTATGTTAAAAGTCTCAAAGTTAAGATGTTGGAACATCTGTAACAGGATAGAAAACAACAACAACACTACTAATCAACAGACTAAGTGACGTGGGTACAGAGCTAGATTGTTTTGAATACATATTTATTAGCACCACATTTTTTATACTGTAGACATTCTGCTTTAATTCAAGGGGTCTAACAAATTTACTGCATTACCCATTCAGGAATTATATCCATTTGTATGCACAGCGTCCCATTTTCAGAGGTTATAAATTAATTGGACAGTTGACTGATAAGCAATTTCATGACAAGGTTAGGTTGTTCCCTTGTTATTTCGTAACACATAAAGCTAATAAAATACGTGGCATTGATTCCAACTGCTGAACTGGCATTTTGTAGCTTTTCAATTGAATTTTTATTACAGAAGTTAAATGTAAACTGAAATAAATCTATCAGACACATAGTAAAAAAACTCTACAATCTGGTTCATTCTGCAAAAATAATAAACTGCCAATCACAACAACTTCCGAAAGTTCGCGTGTATTTATATTAAACCAAGATTTCCTTGTACCAGAATGACGGTAAGACCAAAGCATGACTAAGAAGTTAAAAGCGCACATGATCCGTGGCATACCACATCATCTGCCAAACATGGTGGCGGTAACATCATGGCATGGTATGGTATGCTTGCTAGTGAATCTGGATCACTGGTGTTTCTTGATGATGTAAGTACTGATTGAAGAAGCCGGATGATCTGTTAAGTGTACAGGGCTACACTCTCGCCTTGGACTCAGTCAAGTGCTGCAAAATTGATCAGACACTGCAAATGGATGATGACCTACAGCATACGGTAAAAGCATCTCAAGGAAAAATAAATGGGATGTCCTTTAATAGTCAAACCAGCAGAGCAGCTTTTTAGCTATTAAATTCAAACCTAAAGGCACTTAATGCAAAACGTTCTTAAAACCCTTGAATTAAAGCTGCGAGCTCACAAAAAACAGACAAAAACTACAGAAATAAATACATTTTTAAAAATGCTATAATTCTTATAGAGCAGACTGTAGTTTTGTAAGACTCTTTATTTATTTGGTAAATAAAATAAAATAAAATAAAAAAGAAGGGGCGGGGGTAAAAGATAATATATGTGGACAACAACTATTCACCACACTGTTATTTTACATCCCTATAGTTATCCCATTGTTGGTTTTTAATTGTTTATTAGCCTTTTATACAAGCACTAGTTTTGTTTATTTTAACAGTAAGAAAAAACTGACGTATTGTTACTTTGGAAAAGTGGTCTGAGACAAATTCAATTATTAAATCACAAAGTTTATCGAGTTAAAACCATAAAAGTCGTTATCTCCTCGCTGCTCTGTACTGCAGGCTGCTGTGACCTGCCAACACAGGCTGGTGAAAAACTATTAAGCAACAGCGGCTTACATACAGTCGCTGTTTTTCTTAGTAGGCCAAAGTTTGAGCAGCTTAAGGCGGTCAGGCTCCACAGGACACCCCTGCCTGCATAATTAACAGCAAAAACAAGCCCTGCTTGAAGGCAGACAAAAGCGAACATCGCTACAGGTTTCCTTCAGGCGGTCTCCTTCTGGGTATTATATATTTTATAGTCGCCGCTAACCTTGAAAGGTTTAAAGAAAAGCGTCGACGGGCCCGAGAGAAGATAAAAACAGACGCGTTTAAAACTTGCTTCTTACCGTACTCGTCATTCTTTGCGGACACTAACACTGAAGCTGACTGGTGACTGGTCTCATTGACTGTCTTTCTTGTGCTTGGACGCTATCTTCGCTCCACACTGCGTGAAATATGCAGCACTTCGGGGCCCGGGGCCAATGGTGTGCCTGGGTTTTGGAAACTCCTCCCGCACATTGTAATACTCAATTCTCTGCTCCCAAGTAACCCCCCTCACCCCCCGCGCGCTGTTGAGTACCATAGCTAATGTTTTAAGTGATCTAGAGTTTGTCTGTTGTGGAAAAAAAATGTCTGAATATTTTTGGAGTAAACATAACCAAGAATTAAACATCAGCTGAGCGTGCACTCCACAGGGACTGATTAAATTATCATTGTTTTTTTGTCAGTTTTGCTTGTTTGGAGCATTCAGATGTGCTTAAGATTATTCACGTGTGGAAAACATTCACGACAGCTGTCAATCTTCCCAGAAGTGCACTTCCCATCAAATTCACCCTAAAAGGCAACACTCAGAGAAACTGCAAACCCCCCTAAGAGTTCCAGGTGTACCGGCTTCAGTACCAATGTTAAATGTACTAGGCTTCTGGAACAATGTCCTTTTGGACAGATGAGAGCAAAGTGGAGATGGTAATGCACAGCCCCACATTTGTTGTGCAATATCTGTGCAAACTGGCAAGCACAGTGGTGGACGGGTCATGATTTGGGCACCTTGCAGTCTTTGCAGTCTTTGAGTCATGAATTCCTCTGTGTACCAAAGTCTTCTGAAGGCAAATGTTAGACCTTCTGTCCAACAGCTAAAGCTTGGTCAAAACTGAGTAATTCATTAGGACCATGATCCCGAGCCTTTCAGCAAATCATCAGCATCCCCGTCAAAGTCAAGTTAGTAAAATTGACATACTTTGGCAGGACCTTAAGAGAGATGTGCTTAAGTAAATGCCCACAAACCTCAATGAAACGAAGCAACATTGAACAGTGGTGGCGTACAGACAGAGTGGGGCAAAATTCTTCCACAGGGTTGTAAGAGACTGATAAAGTCATGCAGAAAACAATGACTTAAAGTTATTGCTGCTAAAGGTGACCATACGAGCTAATAAATCATGTAGAACTACTAGTACTACTACTGAAGCCCTTTTGGTTAACCTTCGCCCTGGCCTCCACCCCTCTGTCCACTCAGTCTCGAGCTACAGACTCAAACATGCTTCACCAGTCAAGAGCAACTGGTATCAGTTTCTTCAGTGGTGAGCAGTCTCAAAATGAAGAGCAACCACAAAAATGAAGGTGAAAATTTTCATTTTATTTATGTATTTTTTTGTTGCCGAACAATGATCATCTCATGAGTTAGGCAAGCAGAGGAGTCTTTATTGTTTCTATTCACACATAAAGTGTTTACCCCAATGTCATTTATGAGTCCGACTGCACCAGTTTAACAAGCAACTGTTCAAAAGAGAGCAAAATGCAGATCACGTTCACAGCTAAGGCAAAAATAAAATTTCATGCTACTTTAGCTCTTTCATTGAAAGAATAATAGCATTGTTAAAGCATTATGTACACACACACACACACACACACACACACACCATCTCTTAGAAACTATACTACAGGCTGATAATACTCTGCCAATTTTATTTGTTAAGTAACTCAGTCCCTGTTTACACATTCATATGACCGCATTATATGATATAAAGACCCTTTTTTTCTTAAAATACAATGACCTCTCTTAGCTGCTAGCAGTAGCAGAAGTGTACGCTACATCTTACACAGTCTGCATCTTATACAGTAACGTAGACTAGATGAACTATAACAGAAAGGCTAAAAACTGCACCTCACAAACTGAAATCACATTCTCACCACAACACGTGCAGACTCTGAATAGATAAACAAATATTTCACCAGTCCCTCTCGCAAATAAGGAAGACGATGCTTTAAAGTGTTGTGCTTTTCTGTCCTGACACTCACTGGCTCGGTCGCCTCACGTATGTGTTGCTACATAGTACAAATGCATGTGGAGAGCTGCACTTCCATGCTGATTGAACGCTGTGTGTCCACTAAAGAGGACAAAAAATGGCATCGGTTAAATAAATATATAAATAAACGCAGAAATAACGCCAAATGTAGAATTCAACTGAAGATGCTGGTTTAACTATACTGTTTTAATTTAAGCCATGTATGTATGTGGAAATGTTTACACCACTTCTGGCCCTGCAGAGCAGATGATCACAGTAAGAAAATAAATTCCACGTTGACTATTTGGCACAAATTTAAGTAACCTGCTCTCTCGTTATGATAAACAGAGGCCATAATTCAGCTATAGTGTGTGTTAAAGAACTGTCTAGGTCATAGATTGTAGTCTAGCTACTGAAATATTGTCAACACTCCCTATAAAATAGTATCCATACTAAGCTGCCTGAATAAAATACTAATATTTTATTCCTCACTACACATACATACGTTTAGTCAGATGACCCCAAAGTCCATCTTTTAATAAAAGTGCGCTTATATCCATCTTGTGCATTAAGACTATTCACAGCAGATTGCTTTACTCGTTTACTAGTTTTACTCTCCGCTGTCCACTTATAAAGTGCTCCATCTTCTGTTGAAAAAACAAAACAAAAACTCAACAATTATACACTCGCACACATCATTCTCCAACCCTCTGCTACATCTCAAGCACACCATCATTCAGTCCTTGCTCCAAAGGCCAGAGGTAGTCGGTCAGCTGCTGGAGCTGGCGGTCTGTTGAGGTGTAGTTTCCTGACTCTCCACCAGGGGGAACTGCTCCCTCCAGTAGGTGAAGTGGCTGTAGGTGTCCGAGCAGGGGAAGTCAGAGGAGGACGCTCGGGCCTTCAGCGGAAACACGTGGTCAACGACCTCACACAAACGTACGTAGCTGAAGAGAAGAGAGGAGAGCGAGATGATGCAGTGACGCTGTAAGGGACATGAAAGCAATCCAGTGGGACCTGGGTGAAGGACTTACGATGAGATGTTGGTCTTGGCGTGCTCCTGCACCAGCTCCCCTTTGGGGTTCACTGTAAAAATCCTGTTTAGTGACACCCCAACTTCTTTGTATGAGTATACATCCTGCAAAGACAAGAACAGGGGCATTTTTAATGTTAGACATACTGGATATTAGACTTAAACAGTGCAAAAAATATCTAAAAAGCTTCAATTTACCCTCAGTGAACATCCAAACTCACTTTTATGGTGAGAAATAGACTAAACTATAAGCAAATATAACTGTCTGTAAGCTCTGCAGAGCCGCATGTGAGTTACCGTCGGTCTGTTGCCGAATGCTGCGTAGAACGGCTGCTTGTTGGGGTAGAAGAGGTTCTTGATATCAGTGAGACACTCTACCTTGAACTTCTCCGGCTTCTTCTCTATCACCTCCCTGTGAAACACAATCAGCGCTGCACGATGAGTTCCTCCTGCATCCTCTCATGTGCTAATATAGAAAAACAGATGCACGTTTGTGATATGAAATACCTGTGCAGAGCTGAAAAGAGGCTGCTCGGGCTCAAGAGGACGGGGCCCATAGGAAGCATAGTGCCTCTCTCGTTGACCCAGTTGAGGTAACCTCTAGTCATGTCAGCCATGCCGATCGCTCGGGCTGAGCAGTACAAGAACTTGTAGCCATTTCTGATGTGGAGAGGAAGAGATTAATATTAACCAACTTGTGTCAATAGAGTTGAAATTACTAAATAATTTCTTTAACTTTGTAAAAGCATTTCTTTAAGAGCTTTATTTCATTTCTATAACATCTCCTTTATGCTTTACTTTAAAACTGAGAGTAGACTGTTAATAAAGTAGTTCTTACTGGCTGACTTTGTG